CTGGGAGTGAGAGGTACAAGGGGTTTGGTGGCAATTTCAGGGGAGGAGGGAAGCAAATTAAGAATAAAAATGAATGTAATTAAATGAATGTGTCCACTGCAGAGCAGACGCGGTGTCAGTCTAGCTCATTCTTTCACCTATATGCATGTGTGTTTGTGTATATACATACACAAGTTTCTATTTATTACATATGCAGGCTGTGGTGGATGGCCAGCGGTTCTACCTGCTATGACCAGTGCTGTTTTTCCCTGTCTGGGTTTTCAGTTCCTTGGCAGGTGTTGCCCAGGCTTTGCCCTGGCCAGAATTAACTCTGTTTTGGAAAAGTAGGAGCCAGTTGAAACACTCCTGTGTTTTCCTGATATTTTTCCACTTTCCATGTACTTACTTTTTTTTGGGACTCCTCTAATGGGCTTCAAAACTGAGCACAGGTAGGAGCACCAGTTTGAACCAGCCTCCCAGCTCTGGCTGAGGGGGCTGTTTGCCAGGCTGCTTCGTGAACCACAGGGTGCTGCTTTTCTCCTTTTCTTTCTTCTCCCTTTTTCCCCCCTCATTTTGGGGTCTCAGCTGTGGAGTATCAGAGCTAAGCCCCAGGAGTCCACAGCTGATGGAAAAAACACCCAGCAGTGCCTCCCACCGTGAGTGTGGTGACGGACCAGTGGAAGCTAGGAACAGGTTTTACAAAGTGCAGGTAGCACACCAGCTGGAAAAGCAGCGTGTTCACGAGAAAGTTTGCGGTGACAGGCCCCAAAAATGATTAGCTGCAATATGGCTGTAACCTAACAAACAACTCTGTCTTTGCTTTTGTTTCAGAAAGGAAAAGTGCTGTTGTACGCTCAGTATGGCAATATGAAATTTCTCGTTCACAAAGAGATTCTATTTATCCTGAGGGAAATCGAGTAAGGTTGTGTTGTTCTATTCTGTCTCCCAAGGTAGTTTAAGTAGGGGAGGGGGGAAAAAAAAAAAAAAAGAAAAGCAGGAGGCAGCTTACATTCAGGGTCATCTTTCCTTTGCCTTTGTGACTGTAGCAGGAGAGGCCCTTCAGTGACAAAGGCAACTGCCGCGGTTCAGGGACTCACAGTGTGACTTTTGGCAGCTGTAGGAGTCTCCCAGTGCTGGGAACTGGGACTTGGGCAGCGCCAGCCTGGCTGAGGGGAGGCGGGACTGTGCTAGGAGGTGGAAGCAGCAGCCCTGATGTAAACACCAAACATTTGTATTGTGTGCAGGGGGGAAAAACCCAACAAGCTAATGCTGTGAGGCCAGGAGGAAAAAACACCATGATGGCAACAAGGAGGAAAAGATAGAAACACTCAATATTTTTTTTTTTTTATATTAACTTGCTGCAGAAATCATTCAGTGACCCAAAAGAGAATGATTTCATGAAGAAGTTGTAACATTTGCGTATAATCTAAGGTACCCAGTTAGTTACAACAGAATCATTAAACTGCAAGCTCAAAAAATAGCACAAAATATTGCATCGCAAGGGCAGGTTGGTGTGCACGACTAATGCCCTGGGGTGGCCTTTGCTTTGCTGACGTTTACCTGTAGCTCTCAACAAGCTCGTTGCACTCCCGCAGCGCGCGCCTGCAGGACGCGGGGCTGGGGGGGAGCTGCTGCCCCTCCCGGGTAACGCGGGTGAGAGAGTGGTTTGCTTGGCAGCTGCTGAAGCAGCACAGCAGCTGTCCTCATAAAAACTTGGGAGGAATTAAAAAGCAAAGGCATGACAGTAGAGTAAAACAACGTTTAGGAAGGTTGCAGCTGAAGGGTTACGGCTGAAATGTGGTGCTTCGAGTTGTCTGGGTGGCAGGGGAGAGGAGCGGTGGGGGCTGGGAGTGGAGAAGGTTAAAACAGTAACAGTGATGAAGTTGGAGAGAGGGGCAGTGAGGGAAGTGGTGTGAGGTGTAAAAAGACCCACAACTGACATGCAGTAATAAAGTCTAAGAGAAGAAAATAGATTAACTCCAGGCAAATATTAGTGGAAAAAGTTTATATACTTATTGGATAAAAATTACAAGTAAGCAATTAAAAAAAATATAATCTTTTTCATATATAACCTTTTGAAGGGTGCAATTTTAAAATCAAGAACATTCACTTTTCAGTTTAACACAGACATGCAACCTCAGAGTGAGCAATACTATGTTTTACAACCATACAAACATCAGTTCGTGCTTACACTGAAATACAAAGAAAACTTGCCTTCTAGGGTAATCTTGCTCTAACTCTGGGCAAAGGTTAAGGCTCAGGTACAAACTCACCACCTTCACCCTCTCAACAGAAACACGGTGGGAGTTCTTAAACTGTTCAGGCTAAGACCTGCATGGTGCTACTTGTAAACAGAGGTGATAAATCTTCACGTAGTGTAGAACATGGCACAACCCAGCACTGTTTGTGCCATGAGTTTATCGCCAATCGTTAATGTCACCTGAGCCCAGTTTTCAAAATTTGTGCTACAGAACTGGTGGGAAAGACGCAGGCACATATAAAATTCAGTATTTGAGTTTAACCAATAGTAATGTGTCTCAAAGAGAGCCTGTTCAGTAAAAGCTGCTTACAATCCAATGTCTCACTTATGGCTTTTTAAAATAAAATCTCTAACTATTCTTTCAAGGAAGGCTGTGTTCCGGGAAGAGACTCAAGACTTGTTATTTGAAGTTTCACAGAGAACAGACGATTAAATTCCAGCTGAATTCTTCCTTCCAGCTGAAAGGTTGTACCATGTCAGGAAATTCATTTAGTAGAAGTATATAAAGAGCAAGGGAGGTGCCTGTAGATTATGCATAATAATGCTACAAGTAAATAAAAATCTCTGGTTGTTTGGGATAATGCTTAAAACCTGGCTACCTCCTCTCAATACGCACGTTTAAAACAAAAGGTCGTGTAGTTGCCCCTCGTGAATGAAAACGGTGAGTTAAAAGTTCTGCTCTTGAAGAGTGATTGCACATTACAAAGAGGTACATCAGTCATTTCCGAGTACATGCAAAAGGCATCGATTTCTGTTCAATGGGTTAGCAAAGGAAAAGAAGAACCACCCTGCAGTGGCATTAAGACAAGACCTAAATCCAGACAAGTAGTGTTTGGTTGCCTTGTTCATGAACAAACCACGACATTCATCCAAAAGCAAGTGCAGTCCATTCTTTTAAAAGAAGTTCTTTGGAAAAAAAATCCAAAATAGGTAATTTTCTGGCATGGAACAAGTGCAAAAAGAAGTTTGCCAGCTGTGTGAAAGCAATACACCCACGGGCAGTTGCTGCCGTCTCCAGCGCTGAGCGTTTTGGGGATGTACCCGCCCTGCTTTTGCATGAAGGCAAATCCCTCCTGGAGGCAGCAACTGCTCGTGGCACTCGGCTCACCCACACCTCCTGCAAACTAGTGCTCCCGTGTCAGCTGGAGCAGGCTGGGACCCCCTCCTTGGTTCAGGCAGAATTGTACTGAGACTTGTCCAGTTTTATAAAAATAAATTTAGACCTTCTTCTTCTGTGTAATACTGGCACAAAGGAAAATGTTTTCTCACAAAAAGAGTTGGCTTGTATGGTGTTCTTAAGACAAATGTTGCAGTCCTGTTTTCCCCTCTAACGGGGGCTTTCACATTCCTAGGCTAATGTGCAAAAGAAAACAAAACAAAACAAAAAAATTCCAGTCCGTACTGTCCATATCCAGCTACAGGGGAGGAAAGCCATAGCTCTGGTTGTAGGTCTACCTTTGAATTTCAGCCTCAAATATTTTCCAAGTTGAATACTGACGTGTTCATCTGCTGTGATTCTATAACACTGGATGGTTGCAAAGGTAGCCCTCCAACCAGTTCTCCCCGTGGCCTCGTCTCCCTCACGGTGTGATTTTGCTGGGCCGGTTGCTCCGGCACCCCCGTTTGGCAGTTCTGGGGAACGTCAGGCTGGACCAGCTCCTCATTTTCATCTGCTTGTTGACCGAAGATTTTTTCCGCAGGAGGAGATTGAAGCTCACGCGGCTGTTCATGGCGTAGAACACGTTGGCGTTGCTCGGGATCACCAGTTCTGCAAAAGAGGGACCAGAGCCTTTTGCAGAGTGGATTTGCAGCCCTGCCCGTGGCGGCCGGCGTGCGCGCAGCCAGGCACCGCTGGGCCCCGGCTCCTTGCCCTGCTGCGCCTCCTCGGGCAAAGCCCGCAGCGAGGGGTGCCCACGGCAGCCGTCCTGCAAAAACGGGGCGGCAGGCCCGCAGAGGGGAGGAGGAAGGCGGCCAAACCCAGCCCACCCCTCCAGCCTGGCGGGAGGAGGCTGTGCCGAAAGCCCCGGCGCTTGCCCGGCCCGAGGGCTCGGCGGGCGCCCTGCACGCCCGGAGCTCTGCCAGGGAGCTCTGCCTCGGTAAAGCCGCCTGCTGACAGCCCGGGATAAACCGTCCCCGCGCCCCAGTTAGCGAGGGGGGGGATTCGCACTGGCGGCTGGGACAGCACGGCCGCGGCCTTTGGAAACGTTGCTTCACATTTTACTCTTCCCTTCCGAATCCAGCAGAACTTTTCCAGCAGCAGCAGAACTCTGCTTCCCTACCTTTGTCCCGAGAGATGACTTGTACAAGCTCATAATCCTCAGCCGTGTCAGATCCCAGGTTGTGCTTCGCCAGAGCTCTCTGGATGACGGCCGGAGTTTTCTCTTGGTTAGTTATCTGGAAAGTTTTGATGAGAGATTCTGCTTATTCACTCTGTATAATGATTTAATAATTAGCAAAGGCCTGCCTCCCTGTAGACCGCTGGGTCTTGGAAAAGATTTCAGAGAACTGAAGAAAGATGATGGGTCAGTAAGGTAGTAGTAGGTACTGCTAGATACTGAAACATGGTATTATGTGACATGTGGTGGTGCTGGTTTTTTAGTTCGTGACAACAGATACCGTACTAGAAGAGACAGCAGTAAATCACAGCGTCTGCTCTCCTGAGCAAACACTTTGAGAGATGAGACGTTGTCCTCACTAGCCATAAAAGTCCACATAAATAGCTGCCCCACCTGTTGTTTGCAGACGTCCATTAATCTGCAGTCTCCCTTGCTAAATACTTTCTTTGACATCCTGCAAAGATATTTGGCCTTGCAACCGGGATTGCTGTCTGCTGTGGAAGTGCTGTGCATCCAGCGCAGACACAGGGCTCCCTCCCTCCCTCCCTCCCTCCCTCCCTCCCTCCCTCCCTCCCTCCCTCCCTCCCCTCCCTCCCTCCCTCCCTCCCGAGCCTTACGCAGTCAGAAGGAAGATTTGTCTTGCCAGTAGCCGAATCTGTCAGGCCCTCGGGGCACGGCTCTTTGTCATTTGGGGAGGTGAGAGCATTAAAATCAGAAGGTAGCTAGCTAACCATGCTAAGAACTACCCCGCCGTGTGTCTGTTCCCCCCAGGCCCCGGCGGACCCGAAGTGCTGGGGTGTCGCTCGGGTGTCGGCAGAGCTGGCGTGCCGGGATCCCTCCCTGGGACCAGCATCGAGGGAAGCACCTGAGCACTGGTTATTGACATGGCTAAGCTTAGAAGACTGTTCCAGGAGTCCTGTTAAAAAATATACTGATTTGTGCCCAGTTATAAAAAAAAAAAAAAATGTTACAACCTAGTACAATTTGGGAATATTGCTTTCTCTGTCCATTCAGTTTGGAGTGCATACTGGCGTTGTGAGCTCAGTTTGGTCTCTAAGTAGTGTGAGAATTCATGTAGCTGCACAGTTGAGCATTTTCATTGAAGCTTAATGGTTGAAAAGGTCTAAGGAGCTGATGGTGCTTGTCAAATAATAACATAGATTTAACCACAACATAAGTCATTAACTTCTAGTTACACATTTAGTTTGAGCTGGTTGTCTAGGATCCTTCTTCAATCAGTGAATAGAGAGGCACAAACCAGACGTATATTCCCAAAACAGATATGTGCTACATGTGTTGAATCCATTGGCTGAGCGCAGCAAATGGTATTGAGCTCTAGAAGAAATGTGAAATTATGTGGGACAGGTCCCATCAAAGGCTCCAATAAGACCTCTGTTATTCATATATTGCTAACTTGCAGGAGCAGAAAACATCTGTTTTTATGCGAGATCAAATGTTGCAAAATTTTGGGGTTTGACCTGGACATGTCATTTACACCATCATAAAAATTAGTAGTATTAGTGGCAGTATTTACAATGAGTTTTTCAATTGTAATTTATATAATACATTGTTTTGCATCTTGGGAATGTCATGTAGTGTGGCAAATTGGGGTTGTACATATATTTAAGTGTTAGCAAAATGTAGAATAAAAAGCATATGCTCTGATCAATAGGATTCTTTTTATCCAATATTTGGTTAATCAGACTATAGGAACAAAATGAGACTAAAAATCTAGATGCCAGAGTGCTTGAAGGGATGAATAAGCCATCCAAGCAAATTTAATATCTTAATCCCCAGACTACTGTGAAGATCTCAGGAGGACTTTTTCAAAGGCCTTTACAGAATGAGGGAACTGGATGATAGGAGCCAGCTGGTGGCAGGAGAAGCAATGGGAATGGTACTCTCTTACTCTCTGTTTTACTTCTGCTGATGGTGTAAGACTATTGGTGCCATGTTGTGTATTGTACTGACACATGTGAGATCAGAATTCGACTGTTGAATCATAGAGGATTAAAAGAACTGTCAGATGGGATGTCCCACATAGAGAGAATAATTACGGTATCTGATACTTGAGATCATTATAGATATTTTTATTTTATTACCATGGATACATGACTCTGGTGTTACAGATAATTCTATTTTTTTTTTTTTTTTATTCCTTTGTGGTAGGATGTTGCTTTTATTATTTTAGTGATGTTGATGCAAAGTAACACTTAATTGCTTTTGTTATAGTGCTCAGCTATTTAGGGGGTTACATTAGACTACTGTGAGTTCTTGTAGTCTTCTGTGGTTATGATCAACCTTAGCAAAATTAAAATTGTGCTTGCAGATGAAACAACATCTAACAGAAGCCTATGAAAAGGAGAGAGAAAGTAATTTAACTGACTAATTAAGAGCCCAATCTGTGTGTTGATGGGACAATACTTAGCTCAGAACCACTTAGCCTCTCTGTTTTTGTCCACTTAAGAGCCCATTATGCCATATTCAGCACAGAATTATATACTCCAGGGAATGTACTCGGCTGAAGTACCCACATTTCATATATCTCCAAGGTACATGGCCCTCATTATACCACTAGAGTATGTAATTATCTTGTAACAGCCACACACCTTGGTG